CCGTCAATCCTCATATAAAATTCCTCTATACAAGTTTTCTCTGTTGACCCATAGCTCATGAACTGGGGACGGTGGCATAAGTGTTCGATCATTCACATTTGCAACAACAGATTGCACCTCTCAAAAAAGTTTCCTCCGGCTTTGCAGGCTGTGAGAGCACGGAAGATTTCAGCTACTATCATGTGCGCAAGGGTGCTTTTGGCCTGGGTGAGTAAAGTGCTGACGACCCCCGCTATTTTTATGTCGATATTTCCATCTTTCCTCGGGAACACCAAAAGCCCCAAGAAGAATACCATAAAACAAAACGTCTATGTTCTTCCCATTTGTGGCGGTTTCCTTTGCTGCATATTTTGTTTTCTGGATTGTTGAACCCCCTATGTGGCCATATCTCTAGTATAGAAATTGTGGAGTACAAAAGCCAGCTGCCAAATCCGGGTTGTGGACCCCCCTGCTTATCTTCAGTGAGTCTAAGAATCTGTGCACAGCTACGGTTCTTGGGGCAATCAAGTACTTGTGCCTTAAAGGAAGCTAAGCATTTCCAATGTACCCGGCTATTTCTTCTAAGGTCGGGGTGAGTTCAAAATCTGAAAAGTGGAACACATTGTGCGTCGGGTCCCAGTATGTGACCAATGCCCTTATGATGTCTCCTCTGGGTATAATCTCCAACAAACCAGTAAGACCTTTCAAATATTTCTTGACCTCGTCTTGCCCTTCTTTGCCTAAATCATCCCACCACAGACGCAACTCCAAAGAGATTTTGTTCATGATTGAGAAAGGTTCATTTTGAATTGTGCTCATCCTGCACATTTATTAAGGTGATTTAATAACTTATTTTGACCTAAAAGGAAAAATGACACCATTATTTTTTTTTATTGAAATTTTCAAAAACAAAAACCCGATTTTGCAGATACGGCTTTTTAGCACTTCGGGGAAGAAGATTTTAAGGTCGTGCCCGCTAACCGGTGAAAATGACCCAAGGTGGCTGTTCTTGCAAAAACAGCCTTTCGGCGCCCTTTTGGGGACATTCGGCTTATTTTTAAACAAGAATGGCATCACCTGACTTATTTATGACAAAACTCAAAAATTTTTGTTGTTTTGGGCTATTTTTGCAAAAGGGAAGTTGGACCCGATGGGGGTTGCCTACGTATCTCACATCTGGTGAGAATCAAACTGGCGTAGTTCGGGCAGATTTAACAAAACCAACTATTTTTTAAAAAAACTTTTTCTTTTTGTTTTTGTTGATTTTCTCAAAAATTCAGCAGAGTTTCAGTACCATTTGGGCATTGGGTTTTTCAAAACAGGTGACTAACTCGCTTGACCCTAACTCTATTATTCTCTTTTTCTTTTCTTATTTTTTCAAACTTCTCCCATTATTTACAAGTCGGTCAACATGCAGATTCGAAGCAAATATATGCGCAAATAGCAAGTAGGATGCATCAGGATGGTCTTTTCATTTCAGGTCACCTGTCCTAGACGGACACAACCCTTGTGTTGAGTCCCCTAAGTCAAATGCACGTGATGCAAACAAGCGTTCCTACTAGGGATCCGGCATGAGGTCGAGTTATGCTAGGTTCAAAACCTGGGTATATGTTCTAGACTGTGTACCCGAGCGGACAACTCGAGTCGAGGAGAGGGCTATGTACCGGGAACCAAAAGGCCATCCGGCTTAGTAACTTGTCCGGCCTCTTTCTTACTTTATGGTATGACACTAACAGAATAGTTTTTGGAAATGAAATGTGTTTGAATTTTGATGGTATCGGGCCCGTATTTTAGTTCCGGAGCCCGGTACAGGTCTTATATGTGATTTAAGTTGAGCCTGTAAAGTTTGGTAAGAAGCGGAGGTCATATGACGTGATTCGGAACCTTAGTTGTAAAATTTGAAACTTTGAAAGTTCTTGAGATTTTCTTTGATTTTGATGCTAAATTCATAGTTGTTGATGTTATTTTGGTGATTTGAATTCACGAACAAGTCCGTATGATATTTTTGGGTTAGTGTGCATGTTTAGTTTGGAGCCCCGAGGGCTCGGGTGAGTTTTGGATAGGCCACGGAGTGAAATTTGGACTTAGGAATTTCTGGTGTGTTACAGGCCTTCAGGCTTCACAATTGCGAGCAATGTGTCGCAAATGCAAATAGTGGCCTGGGCTACCTTGGTCGCAAATGCGATGTAATTGTCGCAAATGCGAAGGCAGTATCGCAAATGCGAAGGGGACTGGATTCCTCAAGGTTCGCAAATGCGAACCCCCGTTCGCAAATGAAGTTAGCAGTCTGAGGGGTTTGCAGTTCGCAATTGCGACATCTGCGACCTGCAAATTCATGACTTACCGAAAATCTTTCATTTTTCAAACTCTTTCAAAACATAAACTCTCTTGGGCGATTTTCCAAAGAAAGGTTCTTCTCCAAATCGATCGTAAGTCGTTTCTAACTCGTTTTCTTCATATTTTAACATCTTTTCACATGATTTCAACTCAAAATCAAAGGTTTTCATAGGGAAATTGGGTGTTTTGGGTAGAACTTAGGTTTTTCAAAATTTTGGGGATTTGGACCTCGATTTGAGGTCCGATTTTAAAACAAATTATATATTTGGGTGAATGGGTGAATGGGCAATCGGTTTTTGGTTCGAACCTCGGGTTTTAACCATGTGGGCCCGGGGTCGATTTTTGACTTTTTGGGGAAAACTCTAGAAAATCTATTTTCATGCATTAGAATTGATTCATTTAGCATTTATTGATATGGTTAAGTAACCTGTGGCTAGATACGAGCGAATTGGTGGTGGAATCAAGAGGTAAAGCGATAGTTGAGGCTTGAATTGTGTTCGTGGCATCGAGGTAAGTGTTTGGTCTAACCTTAGCTTGAGGTGTCCTATTTGCTATGTGTTAATTGTTGAGTACGACGTATAGGCATGGTGACGAGTATCTATACGTTGGTGTCAAGCATGCCCGTGAGTCTTATACTATGACTTATGTGACTCCGTTTTGTATTGTTCATGCCTTATGTGATATTCCTATTGTTGAACAAGGTTGTGAAAGTATCATTGGTATTTGAACATTTAAGAGCGTTGGCTCAAGTTGTGAATTGATTTGTGAAAGTATCATTGGTATTTGAACATTGTAGAGCGTTGGCTCAAGTCGTGAATCGAATTGTGAAAGTATCATTGGTAATTGAGCATGGTAGAGCGTTGGCTCAAATTGTAAATTGAGTTGTGAAGTAAATGTGGAAAAAAAAGAGAGAAGAGGATTATGATATTGTTCCCTTGCCGGGATGTTGTTGCTTTTCATATTGTTCCCTTGCCGGGATGTTGTTACTTTTGATATTGTTCCCTTGCCGGGATTTTCATTGTGAGTTTATTGTGATTTCATTTATTTTCCTTGCCCTTATTGTTTGTGATTGTTGTTTGAGTGAGGAAGAGTGTTAAAGCACGAAGGGTGATGACGTGCATTGTTTTGGTGAGAGAGTGTTAAAGCACGAAGGGTGATGCCGTGTATGATTTTTTGTGAGGAAGATTGTAAAGCACGAAGGGTGATGCCGTGCCGCACGATGTACAATTCCGTGCCGATTATATTGATTTTTATGGTGAGGACGAGAGTAAAAGCACGAAGGGTGATGCCGTAGAGATTATGTTCATTCTTATGGTGATGACGAGAGTAAAAGCACGAAGGGTGATGCCGTGCACTTGTTGATTTCTGATTCTTGTTGATAATTGAATTATGGTGCTCCTTATGTTTACCTGTTGTTCTTCTGTTATCATTTGATGTTTCCCCGCAGCATGTTTCCCCCTCCCCTCCTTAACTGTACATTCCTTCTTTTATTTTTCGCTGTATATGATTTAACTACACAGGTTTATTTGGTAGTCTGGTCCTAGCCTCGTCACTACTTCGCCGAGGTTAGGCTAGGCACTTACCAGCACATGGGGTCGGTTGTGTTGATACTACACTCTGCACTCTTTTGTGCAGATCCCGATGCTATAGCTTTCGGACCGCAGTGAGATTGCTGCTTCTTGTTCATCGGGTGACCCGAGGTAGTCCTGCAGGCGTCCGCAGGCCTTGGCGTCTCCTTCTATCTTTTTATCCTGTTTCTTTCATGTATTCCCAGAGACAGTGTTGTATTACTTTTTCAAACCTTTATTTGTAGTACTCCTAGACAGTCTGTGAAATTGTGACACCAGTTTTGGGTAGTTTTGTTACGGATTGGTATTGGTAGTATTATTAAAACATTTCATTTCAGTCTTCCGCTTATTAAATTCTGTTGTTTATTAAATGCTAGTTCTTAATTGTTAACGGTTTAAAATGGAAACAAGGTAAATAATTCGATTGGTTGGCTTGCCTAGCTTTCACTAGTAGGCGTCATCACGACCCCCGAGGGTGGGAAATCCGGATCGTGACAAAAGTTAAAGACCACCCTAAAAAGTATTATATTCTGCAATTTTTTGTTTACAATTTAGCCTGAAATTGACTATATTTCAATTTCTTCCTTATATGAGGTCTCATCTTATAATAAGAGGGTATTTGGATTGGCTTATTCTAAGTGTTTATTGGTTTTAAGCACGTGTTTGACAATGATAAAAAAGTGCTTAAAAGCACTTACTTTTAGTCATGAAAAATAAAAAAATAAGCCGAAAGCCAAAAGTTGGGTATTACCAACTTATGACTTTTGGCTTTAGCTAATAAGCTACTTTATAAAAGTCAATCCAAGCACCCTCTAAATAGAAGAATTAATTCAAATAGCCACCCACCCAGCCGTTCAAATTAAAAATAGCTAGCATATACCTAATATATGTACAATCTATGTATTATATAGGTAAAATTGTGTATAATCTATGTATACCATTTAGAAAAAGAAAACAGTGGATTGGCTATTTGGGTAAAGGTCCCTACTAAATACCGGGTTCTCTTGACCAGTTTAATGGGCTTAACGAGCTGTAACTAATGCTTCCACCGGATAAGGCCCAATATTTATATAGAGTTTTAAAATCGAAAATTAGTGGCATTGGTTCTCCTAAGAGTGTGTGGATGACAAAGCAGCTTGTTTTGGCTGCCTCTCTGACATTTTCACTGCTTCACTAGGAAGTAGTACATCCTCTCTTCTACCTCATATGATAACCAACAACTGCTGAAAAGAGAAAAATATAGTACAATATGCTTGATCGTTCTGAAAGCATATAGACAAATTAATAGACTTGGCTGGCTGCGAAACATGGCAACAACAGGAGGTTCTATTTCACTTTCCAGCTTCCCATCACCATCTTCTTCATTTAGCCGTAGAGCTAAACCCAATTCCACACTACTGCATGCTGATTCTCTTGAACTAAGACACATCAAAATGTGCAAATGCGCCAACCTGTTAGTCCCTTCTCCTAGAAACATTGCCTGCTTTGCAGCGCAAGAATCATCATCTTTAACTGGTAATTTTCTAAGTTATTCCTCATTTATTTTTGAAATTGGTCATTTCCCTGGTACTGTTATATCCATTTGATAATTGCCAATACAACTAGTTGCTGCTGAAACCAAGGAGAAGAAAGAGTTAGCAGAGACTGCTGAAGAAACAGCTCCAGCAAAACCAAAGCCAAAGCCTGCAGCAAAAGCTCCAGCCAAGTCTCTACCTCAGATGATGGAGGAGGATGTTATCCCGTCCCTGAAAACAATTATTGAAGCACAAGACGATATCTCTGAGCTCGAGTTATCGTTTAATGACGACAAGGTCAGTCTCTTATTATCATCTTACTTATGCTAATCCAAGTTTATCTGACTACGATTCTTTCATTCTGATTGTAATTTTCATAAATGCTGTTGTTGCAGTTGGAGGGTTCATTTTCAAAGAAGGGCAATCCATATTCATTTTGGGCGTTCTTTCCTGATGGACTCACAGGTATGTCTTCTGTCTTTTGACTTGATTTTAAGTTTGTTATGCGAGTTCAGATTGCTTATATGATCGGTATGGCAGGTGCTAAAGGTTTCTCTTTGTCTTCCTATGGTTCCGGCCCGAGCACTGTGGAACCTTTTCTCGTTGATGAGAAAAAGATAACAGCAAAGCACGTTGTATTCTGGGTTGAGAAGCGCTTGGCTGCTCAAGGCATTATTCCTGTCTGGAATGAATAATGTCTTGGCAATGTATATTGCCTCTTACTTTTCTCCCTTCTCTTCTTTCTTTAAGGGTCCATAACAGCATGCTGTGTATTCCATTTATATGTTGTCAACCCTTGCTCTTCCTCTTCCAATGTGTATTAATATAACAAATGTACACTTGCCACGAGAACATTTCCTCTACCAAAAGATCTTTAAGCCTGAAGTTTATAAATTGTAGCATCTCATCATACATACACCATTAAGGTAACACTGACAGTGCCACACTAAAAAGTAATAATGCCCGGGTGGGGGGGGGGGGGGGGTGGCACTCACACGCACAAATAAAAGGAAGAGTGCAAAATTGCCAATGTTTTCAGGGTGCAATCAGAGGCTGTCTTCTTAAACAAGTAGCTTATCAGGGGTGATAACAACTTACAACATGCATCTAATATTACATTGCAAACAGTCCCAAACTGCCTGATTTTAAAACGGCTTTGGGCACTTAAAGGTAACAATTAGGAATTAGAACTGACACTTGTACCATGCATTGCAAGTTGAAGCTCACTTAAGAAGTCCTTCTGCAACCCAGAAGAAGATGCACCTCCACCTTGTGACATTAACTGAAGGCAAAATATGAATATTCAGTGGTCATGGAGAGAGAAAAGAAGGTTGGATAGGAATTGGGGGACACAGCAAAATTGCTTCTTACCTGATGGGGAACCATTGCATGCCCCCAATGTGACTTTTTTGTGTACATAACTGGCCTTTCTGCGAAAGAAAAAAAAAAGAACAGATGAATGAGTTCTGATTGCTAGTGTAGGTGGACAAATCATCAAATCACGTAACAATACAAGTGAGTGATTCATTCATGCTCTCGGAAGGTCTCCGGAGACCTTTCAGGTCTACACTTCAGGTCCTCCATAAGTAAAGCGTAGGCAACGATATAAAATTAAGCCATATCAACCACAAGAAATTAAAATAAATTCAACACTTTCTGCATGTTTCAACTCTGAGAGCTACTGTATAACGGAAGTACTAATATCAGATGAAAAACTGTCCATTCTCTCCTTCCTCCTCTTATTTCGTGGTTTAGAAAAGTTAAATAAAAAACATTACCACCTCACTCCACCCCAACCCCGACACAAAAGAAAGAAGGAAAGAAAGAGCGGCAATTCTTAATTCTTTCTTCATTGTCTTTAACTTGTCACATTCTCCCCGGTACAGATTCCTTTTAAATTTCTAAGCAATATTGTCATCAAAATATGCTTACCTCAGGGTTAACTCAAATCTTGCTCAAGAAAAACGTATTTCAAACAACACATTACATCCAGCTCCTATATCATGAACCTCTACCATGTGCAAAACTATATAGGTGGTAAAACATGTAGGTGCTGATGTCCTACTTTTGCCACCAGTATCCAATCATTAGAGTAAATGCGAGTTTAAAGCTTTTATAATGTATATCTCAAGGGAAAGCAAGTAAAGGCATAAGCTTATGGGACTACGGCATTTCACCTTAACTATCAGTAGAGTCTATCTCTCTATACAGTATACACCACATTACCTTTTCTAGTTAAGCTTGCTTGCACTCTCGAAATTATAAGTAGATTTATGTCTCCAGCTATTAGTAGAGTTAATTCCCTTTATGTGTCAACAAGTATCCCATCAAGCAGAAGCTTTTTCAGTACACAAAATAGCACGGCCATAGCCCAATTTTCCAGAGTGGAACCCTTGTGCACCACCGCTAGATTTCACACAATATGCAATCTTAAGATAAGTTGTTGCTAAGAGATGACTCAGAACATAACCCTGACTAAATTATCTGGTCACAGAATACCAAGACAGAGTTGATATGGTCATCTAGGAAGACATAAACAATAACAAAAAATACAAATCAATTCCAGACTAGCTGGGGATAGCTATCTGAGTCCTGTATATCCACTCTGCTCCATCTAGGAAGAAAGTAGACCAATTGAAATAGTAAAGAGCAGCAGGCTGCCCTTTTACTCACCAGGAGAATCATATGGTAAATTGTTGTAAGCATTCAGAGCAGCCATCCAACCTACAAAAACATAAAACACTTTATTAACATTCTCGCCAGTAACTGCTACCATCACCATTCACGAAAGAGTAGAAACTGGCTGATAAGGAACCACAACATCCAAAAGAGATGGCATGTGAGACTTGCTCGCTCATCTTAATTGAGACCTATACTGATAATGGCTAACTGAATTTGACAGGGGTCAATTTCTTCTTCCCAATTAGGTCAACAAGGACTGGTATGGGATAGTTGCTCATGAATGATTGGAAATTATGCTGTCAAGAGCCATATCACCATTCATCTCTTTTGCATCATGGGCATGATTTGAAGAATTCAACATTAACACAGAACTGAGTGCCCACATAGATAATAAAGAAAATGAAGGAAAATGCATGGCCAAATATTCCACACACCAAATGAAACTAAAGAGAAGAAAGACTGAAATCGAATGATCATAACATAATACAGCACAGAAAATGGTTAACAGAAAGAATATGCAAGAAACAACGTAATTGATAAATGAGATATGCAAGAAACAACGTAATTGTCAAATGAGATATTAAATCGTTAGTGGAAGTAAAAAATTCAGGAGTTCAGAATTGATTCTAAGAAAGATACGGTTATTCAGAAGCTGAAAAGCATCACTGCCAGAACATCCTTGTAGCGGTATTAACCCTGTCCGATGACTATCATTCGCTTGATATCTGCCACCAGCATCATCTAAAGTAGATGTAGACCTAGAGGCACTAATTTGATTCTTCTCGCCATCATTACTATTGCCGTTAGCTCGTTCGAGGTGATCTGCAAAAATAGACTATCAGAGAAAATGTCGACCAAGAACTGCAGTTTGAAAAACTTTAATCAGCTATTTATCCAAAATATGCTAGGCAGCTGAAGAAAATAAAAGTACCAAATGACAAACACATTTGTTTTAGATTAACATTCATGCGGGTGGTTCAGCTAAGACTTTTAGGGCATCATCTACCCATCCCGAAACAAGGCTCTTTCGTATCTGACATCTTAACGATTACAGCCTGAAGAAGAAAGTCTAATTTTACTGGTTGCGATACTAAGTTACTAACTAGGTTGATAACATCTCGTGTGATCTTCAACCCCGGCACATTACAACCTAGTGTTCTCCCTAGTAAAACCTAATATATGCTATGTCAAAGAAACCACTCGCTGGATTTGCATTAAGAAAAGAAAAATGAAAAACCACTATCTCTTCGCACAATGATCTAGATACAGTGAGAAAGAACATTGAGTTAAAGCTGCATCCCATGGTGAATCTACAATAATGCCAAAAAACAACATTATAGAGTTGAATATGCTGAAGCCAACTAAGTCACCAGCTCAAAAGATCAATAGAAGTGTTTGCAGTTATACCACCCTACGCAAAAGTAATTTACAAGTGTCCTCAAGTCATTGCAATAGTTGGATCATTTCATCAGCAGAACAGAGTCATGTTAAAAGGGTCCTGTAACCCTCCAGAGTAAATTCAAATGGCAATAATGTGCCCAAACTTTCGACAATAACAACAATAACATACTCAGTGTAATCCCACATAGTGGGGTCTAGGGAGGGCAGTGTGTACGCAGACCCTACCCCTACCTTGTGGTTGTGGAGGTAGACAGGTTTCCAATAGACCCTCAGCTCAAGAAAAGCATAAGCACAACAGTAACGGGAAAAAAAACTATAAGTGTAGAAGCCATAAAAATGAAGCAGCAACAACAACAAGATAATAAGATGATTGAAACGAGAAACACAACAGGTTGTAATAGGAATCTAAGAATAAGAAAATACGAGAATGCATACTAATACTATTGGTATGGAAAAGAAGAACGCTCGACTAGCTTCTAACCTCCTACCCTAAATTTCAACCTCAACACCTTCCTATCAAGGGTCATGTTCTATATAAGCTAAAGACGTGTCATGTTTTGCCTAATCACCTCTCCCCAATACTTCTTCGGCCTACCTCTACCTCTCCTAAAATCCACAATAGCTAACCTCTCACATCTCGTCACCGGTGCATCTGGGTCTCTCTTCTTCACATGCCCGAACCATCTCAGTTCACTTCCCGCATTTTGTCCACCACGGAGGCCACTCCCACCTTGTCCCGAATATCTTCATTCCTGAACTTATCCCTAAGAGTATGCCCGTACATCCATCTCAGCATCCTCATTTCCGTCGCTCTCATTTTTTCGGATATGAGAGTTTTTGACTAGCCAACCCTCCGCCCCATACAACATAGTCGCGTCTCACAACCACCCTTAGAACTTGCCTTAAGTCTTGACGGCACATTCTTATCACATAGCAATTTTGTGACGCTACTCAGGAGGCTGACATGGAAGTGAGGCTTGATACACAAGTCATCCACATGCGAAATAGTTTCAAGTATCTTGAGTCGATAATCCAAGGCAATGGGGAGATTTAGCATTACCTAGTCCAAACTTTCCAACTTCCATTGTTGTCAGAATTGACACAAAGACAGATTTAGATGCATGATCAGTGCTGGATTCACACCAACTGTTTGTGAAGTAAGATAGGAAAACGAGCGCAAACTTTAGTCTCCCAGAATCTCTGACAGGAGCAGAAAGCATTACTTCATTGAACATTGTGTGATAGTTACTGGAAAATATAGAAAATGAATAAACTTTTATTATGAGAGCTACAATTAGCTTATTTATGCATATCCTTCACATGATATCAGTCTTAATGGCAATAATTGATACTGCTGAGCACTGCTCGAAATAAAATTAAATTGCGGTCAATGTAATAATCACTTTATTAAACTAGTCTTCGAAGATTAAATTTGACTTCTAATTCTACTGGAAGACAGATTGAGACTAAAAGTTCGAGCTTTTGAACAAAATAAAATAAAAATATAATTTGACTTGTAGCTGCATCAAAATAACTACTAGTTAGTTACCTCCTCCGGATTTTCGCCTACCAAGTGAGCGATTCCTGCAACAAAAAAGGAAATCACAAAAAAACAAAAAACAATTCAATAAAACATGTCCAAATTTAGAAATACAAATTTATGGAAACAGGGCCATAAATACCGCTGATTGGGAGGTGCATAGCGTTTAACGGTTGCAATTCTGGCTGTGATTGATGAATCTATGGCAGGACTTTCCAGCATATTTACTTTTGGTCTTTAAAAGATGTTCACCGACGCTTCTGCCGCCGTGTCGCCCGCCGCCCCCGGTGCTTCAGTGGAAAATAAGCTACTTGTTTCTTGAGAACGAATTTCCGGTGATAATATCAGCCGAACATCACAGAATGGTAATGAGGTATTCCCGTCGACGAATTCCGAGAGATTAACGCGAGGGTTTCGATTGATGAATTTGGTGATATTTTTTATTTGCTTCCGAGTAAAGGATAGATAGAGCACGCGCTCCCCGGAAGGTGAATCCAATTCTTTATTTCTCAAACAGAATATTTTAGTGGGCGTTTGGACGTAAGAATTGTAAAACTCTGAAAGAAAATGAATTTTTTTCAAGCGAAAATGATATTTTGAAAATTAGAGTAGTGATTGTATATGAATAGAATTTTGTGTTGTTTTTCAAATTTTTATTTTTTATGAGTGACCTAATTGAAAATTTGAAAAATAGCTTTTTGTAATTTTTCAAATTTTTGAAAATTTCAAAATTTATTTTCAAGTAAAAATTGGAAATTTTATGGCCACAAACACTGATTTCGAAAAAAGTAAAAAAAGAAGTTTAAAAAAAGTAAAAAAAAAATTCATGGCCAAACGGCCTCTTAGTTCTTATCATAAATATTTTTCTTAACTATCATCAGTATTTTTATTTTATATTTTATCTCAAATAAAATAATAATTAAAGTCTCGTGCAAGTTATATAATATGCAATGCTTGTTTTAATAATACAACAAATCAAATATTGTTATAAAATAAAGACCGTAAAGTAAAGACAAGTATAGAGAGAAACTGATATATTATTCGAATTCAAACTAATGAACTGAAATCTCTTCTATTTATGGGTAATCTTCTACTGAGAGTAATGTTTATCCATAATGGAGTACTGAAAGAATAAGCTCATTGTACTAGGTATAGATAATCTTCTACTGAGAGTAATGTTTATCCATAATGGAGTACTGAAAGGATAAGCTCATTGTACCAGGTATAGATAATCTTCTATAGGGGTAATATTTATCCATAACGGAGTACTGAAAGGATAAGCTCATTGTAGCAGGTATAGATAATCTTCTACTAGGGGTAATGTTTATCCATAACGGAGTATTGAAAGGATAAGCTCATTGTACCCGGTATGAATAATCTTCTACTGGGGGTAATGTTTATCCATAACGGAGTACTGAAAGGATAAGCTCATTCTACCCGGTATGGATAATCTTCTACCGAGGGTAATGTTTATCCATAACGGAGTATCAAAAGGATAAGCTTATTATACCCGTTTTGGATAATCTTTTACCGGGGGTAATATTTATCCATAACCGGGTACCGAAGTGATAAGCTTCTTCAGGAGGCTTATTTCCAATAGAGTACTAAATAGATAAACATATTTACGATGGAGTCACATATGGATAAGCTTCTTTAGGAAGCTTATTTACAACGGAGTACTAAATGAACATCCATAATATAATATATTTATAACACTCCCCCTTGAATGTTCATTAAAAGATAGTGTGCCTTATTAAAACCTTACTAGGAAAAACCCCGTGGGAAAAAATTCTAGTGAAGGAAAAAGAGTACACATATTTAGTAATACTCATTGCTAGGTGCCTCATTAAAAATCTTATAAGGAAAACCCTGTGGGAAAAAACCTTTATAAGGAAAAAAGACTGCATCGCGTATTTTACTCCCCCTGATGAAAACCTTGTTTCAAATATTTAAGTCTCTGCATTCTAATCTTGTATCTGCATAACCAATACGATCTGCACCACCTTTGTTAGTATTAGCAAGATACATAAGTGCATAGCAATTGCACTGAGATAGAGTATTTCAGGACCAAGGAGTTCCTCATCCTCTTATGGAGGTCGGTACGGATCCTTATTCACTTCAAGTGATCGAACACCCATTGGTGTACTCAATGGGTGCGCTTTGTCCATGTAAAAGCGTTTAAAGACCCTTTTTGTATAGGAAAATTGATGGATAAAGATCTCGTCTGCTAAATATTCAATTTGCAGACCAAGATAAATTTTTATTTTTCCATGATCTTTCATCTCAAATTCTTTCTTAAGATATTCAATTGCCTTTGGAGCTCTTCTAGAGTTCCAACAAGATTTATGTCATCAACGTAAACAGCAAGTGTAACAAATTTTGATGACATTTTCTTTATAAAAATACATGGACAAATAACATCATTTATGTAACTTTCTTTCAGCAAATATTCACTAAGGCGATTATATCACATGCGCCCAGATTGATTTAAACCGTACAAAGATCTTTATAATCTGATCGAGTACATTTCTCGAGACTTTGAACTATATGCTTCAGGCATTTTAAATCCTTTAGGGATCTTTATAGAGATTTAATCAAATGAGTCATATAGGTTATGACTCGCATTTAAATGGCATGACATCTTCAGATGTCTGGACTACTGGTTCGATCCTCACAATATTTCACAGTATTGTGCACTATATTGGATCAAATATATCGTCGACGATCATTTTGTATCGGTTCCTAAGCGACATAACTTGTTGAGATCTTATCACTTTCTTTATTTTCAGGTACCTCAACTTCTTCTGGAGTTTCGTGAAATGTTATGTCGTGGGCTCTTCTAGAGCTCATTTCCTACTCATTATGATCATTTTGATCATTAGCTCCTTATCAATTTTCAAGGATTGTTACCTTTGGAACCAATTGGTCTACCACGCTTCATGCGTACAGTAAACTCTATCCTTCAAGGACTTTAAATTTTAATAGGAGCATTTGCAGCTGAAATATGATATTTGATTTTGGATCAGCAAATGCTTCTGGTATTTGACTTGAATTATCTTCTAAGTGAGGATCATATTAATAATAGTTCGATTCATATAGCATATTTTTCAGTTGTTTATTCCATCCCCTAAATGTTAGAAAAACTAACATATATCCACAATCTTCTTTGGAAAACATATCTTTGTGCATTGTGGAAGAGAGATTAATCATATACCACACATCAAAAGATAGTAAAATATTTGGTTTCTGATCCTAAACAAATTGTGAGGGGATGACTTATCATATATTGTTGGTCTGATACATACAAGTGCTGTTATATGCAATTTAGAAAATCTTAGACCAACACATGAATCTTTGTTCTCATAAACAATAGTTTAGCCATTAATAGGAGGTATTCACTGCTAAACTAGCTTGTATATAAACCAACATTATCAAGATGAACTGTCTTAATTTCATAATCTGAAAATTATGCTCTTAAGTGAGAAAAGCAATTTCAAATGCCAAACTGCAGGTTGACAATAAACATACATGTAACCATCTTATATATGCATCTATAAGTGGTTCACATGATAGGTGAATGTGCCCGTATTCATCTTTTATATATTTCAGAATCAGGGGTCTTAGTCCCAACTTTAGCTGGTATAATCAATTTATCATGAGAACAAACAACATAGGAGAATTCTTGAAGAATCTTCTAGTTCTCCAGTATATGCTTATCTGAATTCTCAAATAGCTCATTTAAAAATGGCAAATGAAAACTTCAAGTTTATCATGGCATGTGCTATCTCTTAGTAAACTTCTCGTTTACTATGACATAAACTTTTGCATTAGTAAACTTCTGATTTAATGTGACTACTTTTGTATTAGTAAACTTCTGATTTACCGTGATACATGATGTAGTACAAATCAAAGAATAAGGCGGGTAACTTCTCATATACATATTATTTTACACCCTATGATTGTGGAAACATGAAGATTTTCAATCATTTATAGTCTCAATATGATAGCCATTTATTTTAGTAAACATCGGGTTTACTACAACATATATTTTGATCATAATCATATAATATGAATGACATATTTGTATATAAGCTCTTCGAGAGCCTTCATTTATTATCCACAATCTAATATTTACCGGACATTACTGGTGTCATGTGTCTTCTAGGCAAGCAGTTAGCTCTTCAGGAGTTGTTGATACATTTTGTACTATCAAATATTGCTCAGACACTTCTGGTATCATAAGAGAAAATCGCAATCAAATAAATAATATAAAACAATTGCTTAAGCACAAGAAAACTCCTCTTCATAATATTTTCCTACTTCAGGAGGCGATTTCAATTGTGTTACTTCTTCAGGAGCAAATTTAAAATACGAAATATTGAGTATATATTATCTCAATTATACTACCTCTTCTAGAGATGAATTGTAATATATTTACATCAAGAGCGCGTTCATATTTACGAGATTTATTAATATTGTCACATTCACTTCAGGGAATGGATTGATATTATCAAAAGTTCTCATCCTTCAGGAAATCGAACATAATTATCTAAACGCGCATTAATCGCATCAAGTTGTGATGATTCAACCTCTTTTAAAATATTTACTACTTCAGGAGCAAATCGAGGCGTGCATTTAATATAGAGAATATTTATGTAGCTTATCTTCAATTGTAACCATCAAAAACCTAAATTATCACTTCTGGTGATCATAGTCATATACCACTTCTGGTGGTTAACAAAATTTAGTTACAATGAGATATACGAAATATAACCACTTCTGGTGGTCATAGTCATATACCACTTCTGGTGGTTAACAAAATTTAGTTACAATGAGATATACGAAATATAATCACTTCTGGTGGTTGTATATTTCTTGCAAACTCTGCTGGAGTTTAAGTTGATCTAATAATGTTATCCATATTTTTCAAAATGACATAAATAAAATATATATAGTAAATATCATTATCAAAGCATAACTTTTATTTATGTACAAAAATTAAAATATTTATATTTTTACAGATTCACCACCGATCACATGACTTGCTTCTCCTTCTGGGAGTGCAAAGTAATCAGCCACATCCAAATGCATGAAGTCTAAATTATCTTCAGAAATATAATTGCTTCAGCATTTTTCTCTGTCTTCTTTACGGAGGCTTGATAAAGCTCAACCAGGTGCTTTGGCGTATGACAAGTATGTGACCAGTGCCCTTTTCCTCCACATCTATAGCATACATTTTCTGCGTTTGGTGTTTGCAACGCTTCATGCTTTTGTTCCTTCCTTTTCCACTGCTGGTGGTGAGGAGGTTTCTTTGGTGCATTATTATTACCATGATTAAAGTTTCTTCCACGATCACAGCCATGACCACGACTGGGGCCACGACCTCTTCCACGCTTAGCTTGGTGGAAGTTCGTCTCATTTATTTCAGGGAATGGACAAGAACCAGTAGGTCGGCTTTCATGATTTTTCATTAATAGCCCATTATGTTGCTCGGCTACAAGAA